TTGCATTTCCCGGATGCTGAGTGATGTTGAGCATTTTTTCATATGACTGTTGGCCATTTGCATATCTTCTTTAGAGAAATGCCTACTTAGCTCTTTTGCCCATTTTTTAATTGGGTTGCTTGTTTTTTTTCTTGTAAAGTTGTTTCAGTTCCTTGTGTATTCTGGATATTAATCCTTTGTCAGATGTATATTTTGCCAATATTTTTTCCCACTCTGTTGGTTGTCTTTTAGCTCTGTTAATTATTTCTTTTGCTGTGCAGAAGCTTTTTGATTTGATATAATCCCATTTGTTTATCTTTCCTTTGGTTGCCTGTGCTTTTGGGGTCATATTCATGAAGTCTGTGCCCAGTCCTACTTCCTGAAGTGTTTTTCCTATGTTTTCTTGCGCACCCCACCATGTAGCGCCCGCCGGTTGGGTTCCTCACCACCCCTACAAGTCTTTCACCCTATTTCCCACCCCCGTCACAGCTGCACCCTGTGGTAGCTGCTGTGCGTTCCCTGCCCCCCAAAGCCACTCTGGGACCTGCTCACTGGCTCTCCCACATCCCCATAGCTGTGACCCTGCGGTCCCTCCCTGTGCCCTGCAGTGCCCAGTGCATTCCCCTGCCCGGTGGCTGGTCAGAGGTCTCACCTCACGGTCTCTCCCCTGCCCCGCAGCTGCTCCCGTGCGGTTCCTCAGGGAGCTGCAGGCCCAGGAGGTGGATGAGGGCACCACGGCACATCTGCGCTGCGAGCTGAGCCGGGCGGGCACGGGCGTGGAGTGGCGCAAGGGCTCCCTGGAGCTCTTCCCCTGTGCCAAGTACCAGATGGTGCGGGAGGGTGCTCTTGCAGAGCTGTTGGTGTGTGGTGCTGAACAGGAGGACTCAGGCGACTACACCTGCGACACAGGCCATGCACAGAGCACCGCCAGCCTCTCTGTCCGCGGTGAGCTGCCCGATGGCCCCTGCAGCCCCCTGGCCATCCTCATGGCCCTGTGGAGTAGGCAGGGGGGCCTTGCTCTGTGGCCCTTAGCGTGCCTCCCTGTTCCCCTCCAGCCCCCAGGCCCAAGTTCAAGACCCGGCTGCAGAGCTTGGAGGAGGAGGCAGGGGAAGTTGCCCGGCTATGCTGCCAGCTGAACGAGGGGGAGCCGGGGACCCCTGTGCAGTGGCTCAAGGAGGGCGTGGAGCTGCACATAGGCCCCAAGTATGAGATGCGGCACCAGGGGGCCACATGCGAGTTGCTGATCCATGCGCTAGAGGACAAGGACACTGGCGAGTACGCCTGCGTGGTGGATGGCCAGAAAACCTTGGCCTCCCTCAGGGTCAAAGGTGAGCCCCAGCACATCTGCCACCCAGTAGTGCCCCTGGGGGCACACCTGGCTGTGCCAGGTGCAGTTCACACGGGTGGCCAAGGTCCCTCTGGTTACAAGCTCTCTTCCTCATTCCTGCACCACCCCCACACTGATCCTCTGAGAGAAGAGCTTCAGCAGTAGGGGACCAGGCCCTTGAGGTGGGGTAGCCTGGCCTGGCTGGCCCTCCCTGAGTCCCTCCCTGTTTCTCCTGAAAGTCTTGCTTCTCTGGTGTCCTGAGCAAGATGGGGCTGGCTGCAGCGTTGGGGAGAGGTGACAGGTCCACTGTCCGGCAACCCCTCTCCCACTCCTCCAAACAGAGCTGCCCCTTTGGCCTTTGGAGGGACAGGTCCTCACACCCAGTTTCTGTTCCCAAGGAGCTCAGTGTCACAGAGGGGGCCATGCTTGTGAGCACATCAGGTGACAGATGCCACATGGGGTAGCAGAAGAGTGTGAGGGTGGCCAGGATGACTTCCTGGAGAAGTGGGCTTGGCCTGGGTTCTTTAACCTGACTAGTAAAGGGACCTTTCTCACCCTGCCCCACAGAGCCTGAGGTGACCATTTTGCGGGGGCTTGTGGACACTGAGGCACAGGCCGATGGCGACGTGGAGTTCAGCTGTGAGGTGTCACGCGCTGGTGCCATGGATGTGCAATGGAGTCTCCAGGGCCTGCCTCTGCAGACCAACGAGGTGACAGAGGTAGCCGTGCGGGATGGCTGCACCCACACGCTCTGGCTGAAAGGCGTGACTCCTGAGGATGCTGGCACTGTCTCCTTCCGCGTGGGTGGCCACACGTCCTCTGCCCAGCTCACTGTTCGAGGTAGAGGGCTCGGGTGTGCTGCGGGTGGGCCTTCCCTGTGACTGTGCGTGGGGTGGGAATGTCCAGGCTAGGCCCTGTTGGGGTGCAGTGACGGGCGGCATGGCCAGAGTCCCTGCCTTTTGAGGGCCGGGGAACTGGCTGGGGGTGACCCTGGGATGTCAGGGTAGAGTACTCCTGGGCTGCAGGGCTGAATCAGGCTGGTGGTCAGGGGCCAGTGGGCTTCCTGGAGGCTCACGGTGCTGGAGCTTGTGTCCCTGCCTCCTGGGCTGGGGGAGGGCCTTATATGAGGGGGTCACTGCAGAGTGGCCCACCCCATAGCCTTGGATTATCTCCACCATTTCCATGGGTCAGAGCCCAGGCTGTGGACTCTGCATGGAGCCGGAGGAGGGGATGAACAGGCCCCCACCTGGTCATCTTCAGGAATTAGGGTAGGGGTAATGGGGCTGCACTGCAGGCCATGGAGGCTCTGCTGATTGAGGGGGCAGCCCAGATGCAGAAGCTGATGCCCATGCCTCCCCTGTGTCCAGTCCCTGAGGTGACCATCCTGGAGCCCCTACAGGACGTGCAGCTCAGCGAGGGCCAAGATGCCCGTTTCTGGTGCCGGCTGTCCAGGGCCTTGGGCCAGGAGGCCTGCTGGGCTTTGGAAGGGGTGCCCTTGCAGGCCAATGAGATGAACGACATCACCGTGGAACAGGGCACGCTCCACTCGCTCACCCTGCACAAGGTGGGGCTCCCAGGACCTGCCCCCACCGGGACGGGGACAGTTCCAGCTCCATTCAGGGAGGTCTTCCATCGGGATTTGGTTGGGGGTATGATGAGCCCCACCACTGGGAGTTGTCAAGAGGCATGGGCCTCTCCCGATCAGTATGGGGCCACCAGGGCCAAGCATGTCCCCCGTTTCTTCCTCAGGTGACCCTCGAGGATGCTGGAACCATCAGTTTCCAAGTGGGCACTTGCAGCTCAGAGGCCCAGCTGAAGGTCACAGGTGGGCAGGCCCCTCCCAGACCCTCTGTCGGTGTATGTTTCCTGGGCCCCATAGCATCTTACCCAGTGGTGGCTGTTGGAGGGGACAGAAACCCAAGACTTCCAATGTGATTGTGCCTTGGGACTGGCAATTTTCCAACCCTTGGCCACTAAAGCCACAGACCAGAGAAGCCACCAGGGTGGGCTGGTGGAGATCACCTTGAGAAATTCTGGGGTGAGGGCTGGCCAGTTAGCTCCATTGATTAGAGTGTGGTGTTGATAACAGTAAGGTCAAGGGTTCGGATCCCCTTACTGGCCAGCTGCCAAAAGAAAAAAAGAAAAAGAGAAAGAAATTCAGAGCGTGTGGGGTCCCTGGAGGAGATTAATGCTGTCTGCAAGAGGGAGACAGGGAGCCTGGTTGCCACAGGTTTGGGTCCTAAGGTTGAGGCAGAGCCCTCCCAACATTCACTCTCCAGATGCCTATGCCTGGTTACAGGTGCACACACGTGTACACATGTCCAGGCTCAAAGGTGCAAAGTAGCATGCCTGTGACACACATACAGATTGGAGCAAGCATGCAAAAAAAGATTTTAGGAACCATCCATCCACCCACACATCTACCATCCATTCATCTGCCAACATCCATCAATTCATCCATCCACCATCCAGCCATTCATCCATTCATTCATCAATCTACCACCCATCCTTCCACCCACCCACCATCCATCCACACACCCGTCCGTCCATTCATCAGTCATCAGCCTTTCTGTCTGTCCATCCATCCATTGTCATTCACCCACCCACCATCCATCCATCCACCAACCATCTACCATTTATCATCCATCCACCATTATATCTGATATCCATTCATTCACTATCAAACAAACCTTCTAAGCCCCTACCCTTGGCCAAATTCTGGACCTCAAGATGGGTCAGATGCAGTCTGCCCTCAGGGAACCCCCACTCTTCTGGGGGAGTTGGACATGGAAACAGTGTGTCCTGTGTCCCAGGTGCCACTACATCTTGAGTCTTCAGGGATAAACAGATGCAGGCCTGTGGGGCTGTGAAAGGTTCCAGATGCCAGTGCCCTCGAGTTGAGTGATAAAGAGGGAGAGTTTCTGGGTGTCCTGAGCTGGGTCAAGGCAGGACATGCCTGGTATGTTCATCAGGGTGGGCAGTTGTGTGGGGGCAGCATGGAGCTGGGTTCTGCTTGGGCCCCTCTCTAGGTGAGGTATCCTCAGCCTGGGTGAGTTGGCTCACATACGGATGCCTGGCTGTGGCCTCCGGGGGAGCGCCTTGGGCAGAAGTGTGTGAAAGAGTGCCCAGGCAGGTGGTGTGATGGGCAAGCTTAGGAACGGGCACTGGAGGTGAGAAGAAGAGTTGGTGGAGCACGGGGAGGTGGTCAGGTGAACACTTGGGGAAGACAGTCAAGGGGCAGATTAGTGCCAATGGTTCACGCGAGGAAGAGTGTGGAAAGGCTCCTGATGTAGGGCCTTCTGGAGTGGGCGCAGGGTGTCTCCCTTACCTGGCCCCCAGCTGCGGGTGATGGAAGAAGCCTTTTGTTCCATCCTCCTCTCTCGCCTGTGGGGTCTGGGGTCAGCTTTGTGAGCAGCAGTGGTCCAGGAGTACGCTCAGCTCCTCGCCTGCTCGGCCTGCCCTGAACGTCCACCAGAGAGGTGGACAGGAAGGAGGGAGGAATGTGCGGAGGGCCCGGGGCAGGCCATGGCCGCACACACATCTGCGAAGTCCCCTTCACTCGGGCCTGCTGTGCAGGGAGCAGTTGCCAGCTGGCGTTAGTGCCCTGGAACCCAAGGGCTGGAGGGACCTTGGGGGACATCTGGACAAAGTGCCCTCTTGGGGTAGGACACCGCTCTACTTCCACACCCCCAGGGATGGGTATTTACTTCCTGGGGCTGACTTCTACCCATTCAGAGTGGCAGGCTCTGGTGGCTTCTCCTTTGCCCCCATGTTGGGTCAGATCAGGCACTCAACACCAGAAAGAGCCCCAACCATAGTGCTTGGGGCTTGTCCATTCTGCCTTTTGAAAAAGGCATGGCTGCAGGTCATCACCCTCCTGAGGGTAAAACCAGGTGTGTTCTGAAGGGGTGTGTGGGGGTGCAGGGCTGCAAGCTGAGGTTGCATCTGGTGACTGAGCCAGTCTCCATGGCTCACTGTGGGTGGCTTCTGTGTCTCCCTCTGTGATCAGGGTAGGCCAGCTGGCCCAGGTGGGTTTCCAGACCCCAGTCCAGGGTACCCTTCTAGGCTATGTGGAATTTATTTCAGTAGGCCCCAGGGTGGCCCTGGTGGATCCCAGGGTGGCTCCTGCACCAGCAAGTCCCAGGGCTGTTTTAGCAAGTCCCACGTCTGACACCAATCTAGGGAACAACATACTGTTTCTCTCCTACTGTGCTCAAAACAGAACACTTCTGTAATCAAATGTGTGGTTTTTTCTTTCTCACACACCAAGCAGTTCTCCAGTGGACACCAGATGGGTGTCCTGTAATTCAATTCGATTCTGTCACTATCTGCCTGGAGTTAGAGACAGGCCCCATAGGTTAAGGGTTCAGTCCCCAAGACTGCCCCTGCTTCAGAAGCCACTCACGCTTTTGATTGAGCAGCTGTAAATTGGGATTATCACTGCCTCCTCCTTGAGTCTGATTAATGTGCTAGGACAACTCAAAGAACACAGAGAAACACTTACTTATCACTTCGCTTATTGTAAAGGACGCAATACAGCAATAGCAAGGTATCTGTAGGACAAGGGATGCGGGGCAGGGAGTGGGAACGGACCTTCCGTGTTCTCTCCGAGTGTGCCCTCTTCCCGCCACCTCCACGTGTTCAACCTGGGAACTCATCAAATCTTGCTCAAAAGTTTTTATAGAGCGTAAATCCCTGGTCCCCTCTCCTTTTGCCAGAGGTTGGTGGACAGGGTGGAACATTCCAACCCTCTGAACGCTTGGTCTTTCTGGTGGCCAGCCCCTATTCCGTAACTCCTTAAAGGCCCTACCTGAGTCATCTAATTAGCTTAAACTCAAGTGTGATCAAAATGAGCTCCTTACGAATAGCAAAGGACATTTCTATCATTCAAGAAATCCTTAGGGTTTTAGGAGTTTGGTGCCAGAAACCAGGGGCAAAGGCCAAATCAATTATTATACCCCACCCCACACCAGTGAATTCCAGGGGGTGGCCCCCACCTGGCAGACCCCCGGGTGCCCCAGCCTCGTCCTCCTTCTTGCCCTCTTGCACAGAGGCAGTGCTGTGCCTGGTACGTGGCTTGCAGAATGTGGATGTCTTCGCGGGGGAGGTGGCCACATTCTCCTGTGAGGTGTCTCGTGCTGGTGGGCCAGAGGCCCGCTGGTGGCTGGATGGGACCCTGCTTCAGGACGGCCCCGAGAGTGTCATCACCGTGCATGATGGGACCTTTCACTCCCTCAGTCTCTCGGGCTTGGGGGTGGCCGATTCGGGCGTCATCACCTTCCGTGCAGGGTCTCTGGTCTCCACGGCCAAGTTGTTGGTCAAAGGTATTGGCCGATGGGGACTCCCTCGTGCTGAGGCTTCTGCCTTTGCTGCCTGTGTGTGCTTTCTGCAGGCCCTTGTGGGGTGGGGGTAAGGATCAGGGGCTGGTCCCCGGGGCCACAGATTGGGTATGGTTCCATGTGTGCCATTTGCCTCAGGTGGCCCAGTGGGCATGGTGTGCAGCTTCCTGTCCCGCTTCTTGGATGGGAAGTCTAGGCTTAGGGAACAGTTGAGTAGGAGGCCACCCCCATGCCCACCTGCCATGTAGAGCCCAGCCATGAGGCCCAGTCCCTTCTGGAGGCAAGTGCCAGCCTCTCTGGGATCCTGAAGGAGCGACCCCACCCCAGCCTGTTCCTGCTTGCCCTGCTGTGGGCTCAGTTGAGGTCTTGTGCACTCTGGGAAAGAGCTGGCCAAATGAGGAAGGCAGCTGGCTGGCAGGGACCCTACTTAGCCCCCTCCCTGTGGCTTCACATGGTGTGTTTGTCAATGGGCCTTCTGTGTGCTCTCATAGAAAATGTGGAAGGCTTACCCGGGTCCTGGGAGCCAACAACTATTTGTTGAGTAGGATTTCGACAGCTAGAGATGGGATGGAGGCCTGGCAAGACCCCTGGGGAAAGGGAAAGTTGGCCTGGGGCTGTGGATTCTAAGCTGGGGCCAAGGGCCTTCGGGAGGGGGAGGCATGTATCCCTGCTGGGGCAATATGTGACCTGAGCCAGAGGGAAGTGGGGGCTCAGGGGTAAAGAGACTGGGAGGAACCCAGCCTGGACAGTGCCCAAGCCTGACAGTGCCATCTGCTGTAGGTGGGAGCGAGGCTTGTGCAGTGTGCAGGGCCCTGGGCTGCCATGGCGGGTCCCCTCCCTGCGCAGGGTTGGGTGGGCATTGCTCAGCTGTTTTCTGTGCAACTCCACGCTTGCTGCTGCTGAAGCCACTAACTGACAGCAGAAAGTGGGCGGGTCTTGGTGTCGCTGTTCCCGAGGGCTTATGTGTGTCCGGCATGTTGGCCGACAGATCCTGCGGTGGAGGTGGTCAGTGCCATGCAGGACCTGGCCGTGGAGGAGGGTGGCTCTGCCGAGCTCCTTTGCCAGTACTCGCGGCCTGTGCAGGCCACATGGAAGATGGACGAGCGGGAGGTGCAAGCAGATGGGCACCGTGTCACCATAGAGCAGGACTGGACCGTGGCCAGGCTGACCTTCAGGCCGGCCTTGCCCTGTGACAGTGGCATCTATTCTTGTGAGGCTGCGGGCACCCGCGCGGTGGCCCTGCTGCAAGTGCAAGGTGAGGGCACCTGGTGGACGGCCCCAGGCCCAGCACGGCTTTGGTGCGGCTCGGGCGTGCAGTAATGGTGAAAGGACAAGCAGTGACAGCCAGCTCTGTGATCCAGGTGGCCTAGAGAGGTGGGAACAGGCCCTGAGAGGTGGCAAGCTCCCGTGCCAGGAACTGAGCTGTGGCAGGGGCAGTGCATGCTCAGTTGCTGAGCTGGTGGCTTCCATTAGAAATGCATGGTCAATTATTGGACTCATGGACATGGACGCACAAGAGAATTAGCAAGGGAGAGGAGAGCTGAGGGGCTGTGGATTAGGGAGGAGGTCTGTGGTCTGCGCTAGTGTGAGCTGCGCATCCCAGAAGCCACAGCAGGTCAGATGGCTCTGGTTCTGTGATGAGCGGAGAGGGGCCTTTTCAGCCCCCGATGCTGCAGTGATGCCAGGGCGCGACAAGAGCAGAGCTTCAGCCATGCGTTGCACCAGTAACTAGTCTCTTAAGCACCGGGTGAGGTTTCTCACCTGTGAGGTGGGGGATGCGGCTCCTCGCGGATCGGGAGCACCACGCTGATGTGAGGTGCCGACACACGGAGGGCAGGGCGTGGTGGGTTGCTGACCACAGAGGCGCCCGTGGGTGGTTCCACATGGACACTAAGTGCCGCTCTCATGCAGCCACTGGGTAGCGTTCTGTTGCTCTCCCAAGGGGCGGTGGGGTGGGAGGACCCCTTGAGGCACTGGCACACCCTGAGGCCCCTCTCTCTCCACAGCCAAGAACACAGTGGTCCGAGGCCTGGAGAATGTGGAGGCCCCCGAGGGTGGCGAGGCGCTGTTCGAGTGCCAGCTGTCCCGGCCTGAAGTGGCCGCCCACACGTGGCTGCTGGATGACGAGCCCGTGCACACTTCAGAGAATGCTGAGGTGGTCTACTTCGAGAATGGCCTGCGGCACCTGCTGCTGCTTAAAAACCTGCGGCCACAGGACAGCTGCCGGGTGACTTTCCTGGCTGGGGATATGGTGACGTCGGCATTCCTCACCGTCAGAGGTGACTGCGCTGAGCAGGGATAGGGCGCTGCTGAGACCCCTCCCACAGGAGGCTGGGCTGCATGCACTGCGGGGTGGGGGGAGGAGGGGGCGCCGGAGGGGGAGTGTCTCTGAGACCCCTTCCAATGGAGACTCTGCAGGGCAGTGTTTGGGGGGCCTGTCTTTTGGATCCCTCCCACACGGGGAGGGGTCGGTGGCCACAGGGGAAAGGGAGGGGAGGTGGGGCATTACAGTGGTCTCCAAGGCCCTGTGGAGGCTGGGAGGGATGTTGGTCTCTAAGACCCCCCCACTCCCAACAGGAGGCTGGGGTCCTTGCTCTGCTTGGGACAGAAAGGTTGGGGCCTGGGGTGGCGTGGGAAGGGAAGTGGCTGGGGGCCCTTTTCCAAGACCCTTCCCACCTGAGGCTGGGAGCTGCTCCTGCCTTGCAGTGGGGTGGGAGCGCTGGGGCCGGAGTGGGCTGGGGCAGTGCGGAGTGGGAGGTTGTCTTCTAGACCCCTGGCACCTGAGGCTCTGCAGGACCAGGAGGCTCGGGGGAGCTTCAGTCTCTGAGACCCCTCTCACTGGAGGCTGGGCTGCCCTCGCGAAAGCAGGGCTGGGGCTGTGGAGGTTAGGGGGGCATTGGTATCCCACACCTCTCCCACCTGAGGCTCTGCCGATTCTAGAGAACTCAGGGGGAGGCCATACTCTCTGAGCCTCTTGTCCTGCCTGAGGCAGGGTTGAAGGGGACGGGGTGAGACAGGGTGTGGGTCTTAAGCCCCACCTCCAGAGCCCCTCCCCCTTTGTGCTGATGTCCCCACCTGCAGGCTGGCGCCTGGAAGTCCTTGAGCCCCTGAAGGACGTGGCTGTGGGAGCTGGTGCACAGGCCCGCTTCAGCTGCATGCTCAGCGAGGTAGTGCCTGTGGGCGAGGCCTCCTGGTACATCAATGGGGCCTTGATCCAGCCAGATGACACCGACTGGACGGTCACCGCCGATGGCAGCCAGCACGCTTTGTTGCTCCACAACGCTCAGCTGCACCATGGCGGGGAGGTCACCTTCGCTGCCCGCGACGCTGTGGCCTCGGCACGGCTCACGGTGCTGGGTGTGTGGTTGGCAGGAGTCTCTCCCCCCTGAAGGTTGGGTCTGGGGCACACCCTGCCTCCAGAGCTCCTAGATGGGTGTGGGGGTGACCATCTGAAGCTGGGTACTGTGGGGATCTGCCTGAGTGGAGAGTCTGGGGGTGGTGCCCCTACCCCGGGTTGGGTCGGCCTGCATGTGTGGTTCTCAGGCCTGTCTGTGTGAACCCAGCTTTCCATTTGCAGCTCCCTGAGGCCAGTCACCCCAACCACCCCACCTCATCTCCCCATCCTCTCTGCCCAGTGCAGATCTGAGCCTGGGGTGGGGGGACAGGAGGAAAGAGGGGCTCCAGCCTCAGAAGCTGCTAGAAGCTCTTCATGGATACGCATGTGGGTGGGCTCTGGGCACACATGGTCACAAATTTGTGTATCTGAGATACACAACTGCACCAGCCTGTGGGGGTTTTGGCAGCGTCCCTGGCTTCCTGAGACAGGCTGGGCCGCCCAGCACAGTGGTACACGGGTCTCGGGAGGTGGACTGCCCCAGCACCCACTGCATTGGGGATCACACCCCAGTGATCACTGGAGGAGCTGTGGGTCTCCATGGGTGCCAACATGGACCCACTGCACTGACTGGCCCTCCTTCCCCGTAGGCATCCCCGATCCCCCAGAGGATGCTGAGGTGGTGGGTCGCAGTGGCAGCTCTGTGACACTGTCCTGGGTGGCTCCCACAAGCGATGGCGGTGGTGGTCTCTGTGGCTATCGGGTGGAGATGAAGGAGAGGACCACGGGCCAGTGGCGGCTGTGCCATGAGCTGGTGCCTGGGCCCGAGTGTGTTGTGGATGGCTTGACCCCCGGGGAGACCTACCGCTTCCGCGTGGCAGCTGTAGGCCCTGCAGGCACTGGGGAGCCTGTGCACCTGCCCCAAATGGTCAGGCTCGGTAAGTTGCCACCCACAGCCTCCCCAAGCTGTAGGGGAATCTGGGGAGCTCAGGGGAGGCCCCGGGCCCTTTAGTGCTTCCCTGCTGATGTGGTCTGTCCTCTCTCCACCGATGCTGTTTTCCAACAGAGCCCCAGGAACCTGCACCTCCCCGACCCCCGGCCCCTGAGAGCCGGCAGGTGGCTGTGGGTGAGGACATATATCTGGAGTTTGAGCTGGCAGCTGAGGCTGGTGAAGTGGTCTGGCACAGGGGGACAGAGCACATCCAGCCCAGCGGGCACTTCGAGATCCTCTCCCAGGGTCAGCGGCAGACGCTGGTGATCAGGGGCTTCACTGTAGAAGACCAGGGCGAGTACCGCTGCAGCCTGGCCCAGGGCCCAGCCTCCACCGTGGCTGCCACCTTCCGGGGTGCGTCTGCCTGCTCCTGGCTTCTGGGTGGGATGCCCTCAGATATGGGGCAGGTGGCCAGCCTGGCTGTCCTGCTCACTGGCTCTCTCAGCAAAGGCTGAGGGTCCTCTCAGGAACCCAGTGTCACATCGAGGGAGACTGAGGCTCATAAGCATATGTGGCAGACTCACGTTGCTGAACCTCGAGGCCTCAAGCCAGTCTCTCCCTCCCCGAGCAGGGGCTTAGCCAATAAAGCCCTTGCATCCCCCACTGTGGGTCTCCTTAAATTTTTTCTGCATATCAAATCCCCCCCGTGCTGCGAGCACCTGCACGTGCATTCTGAGCCACACTCCTGTGCTGAGCCCCCTGCACTCTGCTCTCCCACTCAGCCCCTTGGAACACTGAGCCCCCTCCTCTCTTAGGATCCTTGGTGCCCTGAAGCCCCCCCTCCCAGCTTTTCTCTCCAGTAATCTGAGCCCCACAACCCTGCACACGGAGCCATCCCTGCACCGAGCTCTGAGCTGCCCCTTCCTCGCACTCTGAGCTGCAGATTGTGCTGAGACTTCCTCTCCACTGCACTCTGAACCTCCTCCCTCCACTCTGAGCTCCCCTGTACTGAGCTGGCCCCCCTGCCCTGTGCTCTGAGCCTGGCCTGCTTGCTCCCATGTGGGCTTCCTTCCTGAGCAGCACCAGCGCCCCTGTAGATCTAGGCCTCCTATCCCAGCAGCAGGGTCAGGAAGGGCTAAATAAACCCAGTTTGACTTTCAGAGAGACTTTACCTGTCTGGTTGTTGCATGTCCTGTGCAGGAGGTAGACTGAGGCCCTGCTCCACCTGGGGGAGCTGAGGCTCGAAGCCTCCAAGACCTTGCAAAGATTATGAAGATAGTGCCAGGCAGGGAGCAGAGGTCTAGCAAGGCCACAGCCCAGACCACAGTCCAGGCCACGTACTGGTCAGCAGTCAAGGCAGGCCTGGGGGCACAGCACTGGCTCAGCCCAGTGACCGGTGTCCTACCCTCCTCAGTGGCGTTGACCCCGGGATCTGAGGGTGAAGCCCCTGTGCAGCCCAGCCTGCCCCCCGAGGCGGCCCAGGAAGGAGACCTGCACCTGCTGTGGGAGGCTGTGGCCCGGAAGCGCCGCATGAGCCGAGAACCCACGCTGGACTCCATCAGTGAAATGCCTGAGGATGGCCGCGTGCAGCGCCTGCGGCAGGAGGCAGAAGAGGCAGCCCCTGACCTCTCTGAGGGCTACTCCACAGCCGATGAGCTGGCACGCACCGGAGAGGCTGACCTCTCGCACACCAGCTCTGATGACGAATCTTGGGTGGGCACCCCTTCCCTGGTTGCCTACCTCAAGAAGGCTGGGAGGCCTGGCACCTCACTGCTGGCCAGCAAGGTGAGCCCACTGCTTGGCCTGCAAGGAGAGTGCTGGTGTCTGAGACCTTCATCATCCATTCATCCATCCCTCCATGTACCCATTCATCTACCTACCATCGATCCATCCTTCTATCTACTCATCCGTCTATCATCCACCCATTTATCCATCTTTTCTTCCTTCCATCTATTCATCTGTCCACCGCCCATCCATTCATCTTTGGATCTGTTCTTCCTTTTTTCCATCCGTCCGTCCGTCCGTCCGTCCATGCATGCATAGATTCATCTTTCCATCTATTCATCTGCCTTCCAGACATCCACGCATTCACGCGTTCTTTGATCTGTTCATCCGTCTGCTGTCCATCCATGTATCTGTTCATCCATTAACCATCAGTCCATGCATTAATTCATCCTGCTATCACATTATCTGTCTACCGTCCATCCTCCCGTTTACCCGTGCTGCCACCCTTCCTCTCTTTGGTCTGCTCACCTATCTACCACCCATCAATCCACCCATTCACCTTTCTGTCCGTTCATCCATCTGTCATCCACCCATTTATCCATCTTTTCTTCCTTCCATCTATTCATCTG